TTGGCCTCCTGTCTTGCTTGGTTAAAGAAAAACACCTGGCTATTGGCAACATTCATTATTCAATTGAATTGTAGTGTATGTAAGTGTGTATATACTCCCTGTTATTTGTTCTCTAATTGTTATTTGCTCTCTTTCAGACAATGGTACATGGACACAGCTGTGGCTAGTGTCAGACTATCATGAGCACGGCTCTCTCTTCGACTACCTGAACCGCTACTCTGTCACCATCGAGGGCATGATCAAACTGGCCCTGTCGGCAGCCAGCGGACTGGCTCATCTACACATGGAAATCCTCGGCACTCAGGGTGAGATGAACTGTCATGTAATTAATAAACCAAATGAACACTGCAGGTGCATGAATTCATATGCACAATACAGTGGTTATTTACAGTCAGCAAGCATGTTGCTATTTCTGCTTTTGATGCAAATGTAATGATGTGTTCTCTCCTGCAGGTAAGCCTGGCATTGCTCACCGTGACCTCAAGTCTAAAAATATCCTGGTTAAGAAGAATGGCATGTGTGCCATAGCTGACCTCGGCCTGGCAGTCCGCCACGAGTCCATCACAGACACAATCGATATAGCTCCGAACCAGCGCGTGGGCACAAAGAGGTAAATGTTTCCATACTCATTCACTTAAAAGCAAACAGACGGAGGCATACATTAGGGATTTGTTAAAGCCAAGTCTGGCAACAGGAAGTTTTCTTCAATCTTTTACAAATCCAACAAAAGGATTAAAAGCTGCAGTAAAGTATACGGCTTGTTGCTCTGTGCCCCTGACTTTCACTGTGTCCAAAAACTATTCAAGCATAAATCCCACATTCAACACTGTAATGTTGCTGTTAATTCTTAGTAGAATCTGCGAATGTTGAGCTGAAAATAGCCCCCCGTTTATGTAAATGGGTTTCCTTACAAAATAAAACGATTTATTTTTGAGCACATTTTTCCGTCTTCTGGAGGACCCAATGGCCTTGAGTCCGAGTGCAACAAACAGGGTAGAATAGTCACAAAATGTCGACTGACACATTGTTACTGTCTCTCATGGTGAATTGAACAATAAAGAATGTGTCCAACATTATCCTTTTGTAAATCCATAGAAGTTTTTGAAAATATAATTATTCTTAAATGAGAAAATGGCTTTAAAAAGTTAAGATTTCATGTCACTAAATAAGATAGTTGAAAATGCTAATTATTGCTCTTACTCATTGCTGCCTCTAGGTATATGGCTCCAGAAGTCCTGGACGAAACCATCAACATGAAACACTTTGACTCCTTCAAGTGTGCTGACATTTATGCGCTAGGCCTGGTGTACTGGGAGGTTGCGCGTCGCTGCAATGCAGGAGGTAAGACCACCACCAACAGCTGTGTACAATTACACATGTATTTATACAAATGATCCGGTCTAATGAACATGCGAACAGAGACTGATAAGGCCTCCTCATTGTGTTCTGCAGGTATCCACGAGGAGTACCAGCTGCCCTACTACGACCTCGTGCCCTCGGACCCCTCCATAGAGGAGATGAGGAAGCTGGTGTGTGACCAGAAACTGAGGCCCAATGTGCCCAACTGGTGGCAGAGCTACGAGGTATTTCACACTCGTATCAGCTATACAATAACAGCTGATTATTTTCTAAAAATACTCTCAGTGGCTGTATGGAAAGGCAGTTGGACTGAACATGTGATCCTGATAACCAGGGACTGCTCATTTCTTTATCAATGTTGTGCCGTAGTATTGATGTTATTTCCACTGTTAAAATGGTGTTAGTCCAGAAAATTGACATGTTTCACAGCAGTGTTTTATTTGATTGGTTAACTATACTGATTGTTGTCATTATCTGCAACCTTTCAAATAAAGTGTCATTTTCCTTTTTTTATGTTTCGAAAACGTTTGTTCACCAATCATGTGTTCCCTTTCCTGCAGTCACTGCGTGTGATGGGGAAAATCATGAGGGAGTGCTGGTATGCAAATGGAGCAGCCAGACTGACGGCCCTGCGCATCAAAAAGACCCTCTCTCAGCTCAGCGTGGAGGAAGACGTCAAGATGTGAGCGGCCTGGCGCTGACCTCCAGAAAACACTCCCATAGGAAACAAACACTAAAGACAAACTGCAAATGAAAACCCTGCCAGTTTTAAAGCCACACTCCAAGTTGTGACGAGGCCTACCTCACCTTTTTAGCCAAAACTACTGAGTCATCCTTCCCCCGTCTGACTTTTCTCTCCCCCTGCCTCCTTTTGTTCCTCGTGTCTCCTCCCTGTTCCCCTTCTACCACCCCTACTCCATGGGCCACAGCACTACCACTGTTAATATCATCACACTCAAACTTTTTTTAGTTTTCATTTCCCATGGCAGGAATTATTACTATTGTACAGTGACGGGATATTTTTGTTTGTTCTTTTTTACCTCTGAAATATGTCCCATGATGGACTTACCTTGTCCTCAAAAGCCGGGAATGTTTTAAGTTTAAGAATAATGACACTTCTTATTCTGTCGGCAATGCATCGAGACATTGTGTTGCTGTGAATGTGTGTGTGTAAGGGGGAAGGACGCCAAAGCACTGTTTCTAGTGGTGTGTAATGGTGTCTGGACTAGTAGCATGTTTCAAAGACACCAAGATGCCCTCTGGTATAGGCTGTAGCGTGTTAGACAAATCCTGTAATGGGAGATTTGGTAATTAAGCATGAAAAGCAATTTTTTTCTCTTTGATCCCACAGAAAGGAGTTGCACTCTACTGTAGCTTCCACACTGTGTGACACCTGCAGGTATCGCATAACAGATGTGGTCCAGTCCAGTTATACATTTGGCAGGGATAATGTTTGGGATGGTTTTACTTTTTATTTATTTGTGCATATTTTTTATTTGATATTAATGAACACTGTGAGATGTGACAAGCCAGAATCTAATATGATATGAAAACTACTGTTGTAGTTCAATCCAGGTTTGACCATCTTTCAGACCTTAGATTAAGGGGTTGTTGCATTCATTGTAATACGATACTGAGTGCTAACATGGATGTAGCCATAACCCCTGTTGGTGACAGGCGAAGACATTGTGATCATGAGCTGTGTTTTTAAATATTTGTTTTTTAGTTTTGTGTATAAAAAAAATCATGATGGGTGTTTTTCTTTTGACGTTGACATTAGAAACTACTGATAATAGGTACATATGATTTGTTTATAAAATATGCTTTTTTCCCCCCCTTTTTATGCCAGAAGCACCAATGTGACATTTGAACTTTTTCTTTTGTTTTGATCTGTCTGCATGGTTCCTAACTGTGCCAGAAAATAGACATTCATCTGCTGGAATTTCATAGCAGTTTGGTGGTACTACTGATCCCAGATAATTTGCTGCAACCTGTTTTTATGTTTGTATGTACAAGTGTTGGAATTGCTTGTGGAGTTCACTAATGCAGATCTGTGTCTGCATAATGTACTCCGGGGTGACATCTCTTTCTCATTGACACTGGAATATTTAGGAGCGTCATGTAACCTTTAATTCTGATACTGCCAAAGGCTATTTATTCAGACATAAACAAGGCTGCTGAGCGTTCGCACACAGGGAACATACGGTTAGATGTGAAAAGTAGTTGAGACGTTTTACCTTCAAAGACTGACATGCTCTAAGTGTAACTGCATGTTTTCATTATACTTCTGCAGCTTGTCTATCTGCTACAAAACTATGAAAGTATTACACTGACATTTGTCACTGTTGGGCTCTGCACTGTTATGTCCACATAGACTTGAGTTAATGTTAGTAGTGTCATCACTTTATCCAGAATCCATGTGTCATGTTAGAATCAATTGTTGCATGCTGTCTCAAACACTGGGTCTTCTGCACTGAGTAGAACTTAAAAAATACCCCTCTTCCTACCTGTTGTTTTCTTCCTTTTTGTTCGGGTCGTTGGCTGTGTACCCCAGACATGTTGCTGCTACTGTTAACATGGGTGGAAGTTCAGCGTGACGATCAGAGAAGAAAAGCTGGCAGAGAAAACGGAGACATGTTGTCAGTTGAACCAAAATTGTCAAAACACTACTTTCCATGTTTGGTTTGTTGCCATTATGACCATCAGACATCCTGTCCTTAAAAAAAATCATGTTGTGCAAATCTTTTCAGAACATGTTGAAAAGTGTATATAGATTATATACAATAAATTCCTCTTTTTCTTATCTGTGTCTTCAACTTTGGTGCTTATTCGAAATGTCGTGCAGCGATCTTCGAACTATTTCTACTAACGCAATTAGCTTAGCTAACTATTAAGACTATTTATCCATTACTATAAGCTAAGGTTTTCAACTGTTTATCCATTTATATTAATCTTACTATTTCAACAGTTGAATTAAGATAACTATTACAATATTTGTTTCCATGACTGTAAGCTTATCCATTACTTATAGCTACCTTAATATTTTATCTGTGTATCCTTTACTTTTAGCTAACTATTTCAACTGTTTATCTTTCAATTTTTATTCTTGTACCATATATTTTCGGGACGTCGTTTCGGCTCCATGTTGTTATCCTTTTTTCTTTTGTTTTCTCTTTATTTCCGTCCAGTTGATAGAAAACTACTAAATAGTGCACGGTATTTTAGTGTTGCAGACTGTAATCTAAAGTCTGCCGCTAAGTGTCGCTGTTGCAACGGCCATTGTTTTCCTCTTCTATAAAGTGTTATTTCACCCATGATGCATTGCGCGACAGTTTAAAGATCATCATAGCAGGCTTAATGCTGTTTGCGGCTAGTCTTTACATTTAATTTGTGTTTCTAGTCAGCTGGTCTTTTAGCTAGCAGTTTTAATCCAGAGGCTATAATAGATGTCAGTGCTTTAACGAAATTCACCACTAATGGTTCACTTGATATATTTTTTTCGAGAGCTTGTTGTTTCACTGACCACCAGCTTTCATATGACTAAAGGTCCACTATAATAATATAATATAAATTCAGGAATAAACCATCAAGCTCCTTCATCGTAATTGACGTTTGAGTCCTTAATTAAAATAAGAATGGCACATATTTAAAATGCATTTTATTTTCCTTTACAAGAAACAAAAGCTGACAAAGAAATAAGATGAAGGGAAAGGGGAGTGGGACAGCTGTATATAAAGAGATGCAACCTCTGGCGTCCTGAAAAAAATATGTACAATTCAAAATAATATCCATACAAAACATGCCACATACAATAAAAATGATCATTAGATGTATTTATATTCCCTAAAAGTATCTCTGCTGTACAGATGCAACGTCTTTTTAAAAAGTAGGTGAGGTTAAAAAAAACCTTCAATTTGAGCAAACTTTATTAAATTATAAGATATGCAGAGAACTTAAATTAAGATTTAGAGAAGTTAAAAATGATTCAGGCTAAAATCCAGTGAGCGGCATAATGTCTCATCATGGTCTTCCCTTGAAATAGAAACATACCAAAAAATATATATATCACTGCTTCGGATCAATATCTACCACTTTAGAGAAATTCTCCATTATACTATGAGAGTGCAATTCATTACCAGAATAAGTATGGGATTAACTTTGAGTATTACATCATAACATACATTAGGCCAAGTAACCATTTCACAAGGTTTACCAACACATTCACTTCTATAGGGAAGATATAAAAAAGCGAAACACTAACAATATTCTAGGGATTCAAGATTTTCCATTCAAGAGTATATTAATCCAATTGTGACCGATTAAGGGACAAGTTTTGGTAATCAACAAGCAGTAGCATAAATAAAAAGAAAATAAACACAAACAATATTACATAAATACAAATGCTATGCACCATTGTACTGCTTTACGCAAGAAGGGATTTTCATGTCTAATTACCGACCTCCACATGAATCCAAACAGTTCTGTAATCACACCAGCTTCTCGTCACAATTGATTGGAGAAGACATTATTCTCAAACCTATTTTAACAAACTTGTCTCTGAGAGCTTATAGCAAAAACACTAATAGAAAAACAGGTAAATGCAAAACACTCTGGTTCATATACATAAAGATATTAGTTTGCCATTTTACATATATTTATATTTATATACAGCTTTATCTTTGTTAAAATGATATCCAGTGGTTGATTTTTTTTCAATTTTATTTCTCTACACTTTTGACTTTGATTACAAAGGGGTTTGATAAAGAGTTGCTGTCCCCTAATGCATATACTATATATACAGTTTGTACAACTTTGCATTTTAAAATCATGTGAGGTCTTAGGTTAGGGGGAGGAGGAAACAAAGTAGTATGGGAAGGTAGGAAGTTTTAGTAAAGCTCCCTTTAAAGACTTTTTCATTCATCTTACATAGAAATGAAAACAAATGCCCTTTTTTCCAATAAGTCTTTCCCTGCTGTCAGTTCAGCCTCAAGAGAACAGTACCAGCACACTACAGGGGAAGTAGAAACACTGCAGGCTGTACTCAGGCAGAGGAAGACTTACTACAGTCATGTTTAACAACAGTCCACTAAATCATACAGAGAGGAAGAGGCATGATTCAAAGTTCAAGGTTGAGTTGTGAAAAGATTGGGGAGAATAAAAAGCATTTCATGGGACAGTAGTCATGCATCCACCAGCTGGTTTTCATCAAGTGGAAATTCAATGTATGAAGCAACAAGCAAATGTGTAATTGGTTAATTTCGGACATCGGAGTCTTCTTCAAAGACTGCTTATCCCATGATCCTAGAGCCATTCACTCACACCATTACTGTCTTTCAGCAACTTAAAAAAGGTGGATATTATTGTGCTTTCACACAGCTCATAACATCGTTTTCTGAGACGCATAAATAGAAAGGAAAAGAAAAAGCTACATCCAGGAGGATTTGGTGGCATACAGGACACCCGCTAAGCTTCTGATTGTGATTTTTAATGCAATATCTTATCAAAACTGTCATATATTTCCTCTGTATAAACAATTCATGAATAATAATTATGTTGGCTCATTATTGTAAATCATCATCAGCATAGAGTAGATAGAGCAAACCTGCTGCTTAAGATTCCCTGCTTGTCCGAGAAGGCCCATAAAAACATTCCCCCTTTCCCCCCCGTTCCACAGTAGCAGTTAACAGTTTTTATACAAAGCAGTTGCTTCCCGATAAATCAATGAGGTAGACTGGGTCCAACTAACCCACCATGGGACTCCACACAGTCCGAACATCTGGTGCCACAGATCAATAGCATCTCAAATTTTATATTAACTTTCATCTTTTTTTTCCATCGATCATATGTAGTTCTAACACAGAGCCACATCAAGATTGTCTAGCTAGCCAATATCCGTGTTGTCTTCATTGATGACTTGATGGGAAAGTGCCTTTTTCTGGGAGATAAGGGGGAGGTGTGGTCAGGTGGGACAGGAAATAGGTCCGACTTAAAAACATAAAAATGCATCATTAGTTCATTCTTAGTATTTTAAAATGGCTTTTTGTCGAAGCTCCAGCTGAGCTCTCCATTACCAGTATTGATACCAGAGGGTCAGAATCATTTGGTAGATGTTGAGGATTGTATTCCAGCCACTGTAAAGAGTATTAAGAACAGTCGAGGGGGGGGAAGGGTTTTGGCTGAGGAAAAGGTGATTCACTAGTCCAAACATGAAAGTAAGTCCCACCATCAAGCTGCTGTTGATGGAGGAGGTCGGTTGCTTTTATTGATTAATGCTCTTCAAACCTTTGGCTACAGGTGTCAACGCTTTAGTCTCTCAGTGATGAAGGCCGGCCTTCCTCCACATCTCTCAAAACAGCTTATGCACTGGCTATGTAGGATTCAAAGGCTTTGGCGCAGGAGTGTTCTGGCACCAGTGAGAGGGGAATTCTCCATTTTTCTTTCTTCTGGTTAGTTCATCCACTTTCGGCAATTCCAGGCTCCACAATGGCAAGGGATCTTGTGCTGATCGTCCTCGAAGTCAAACTGGTAGTCATAGGTCAGCTGGAAATAAGAAATGGAGGCAGTTAATGTCTGCAAACAAATGCAATAGGTGGTAGTATCTGGATGTGTAGAAGTCTGTAGGGGTTGGTTATCTAATGCACCGTACCTCTTCCCCTTTGGGGATCCTGCGGCTGGAAATGATGATAATCTTGTCTTCTCTGTCAAATGTGACCACCTCTGCAACACAGTTTGGGGCGCAGGAATGGTTGGCGTACCTGGAAAAGAGATAAATGGCAGTTTTAAAAAAAAAACTTTCTTGACGCTATGGTTTAAAACAAGGAAGCCAATCACAAATCAACACTTACCGAGCTGGACCTCCTGTCAGAGTGGCATCAATCACCTGCTCGTTGTTGATGCGGAACATGTAGATCCCACGGTTCTAAGTTGGGGGGGGAAAAAAAACAGAAAACGTTTAAAAAATAAATTTGGATCGCATCCAATTAATTGTTCCCGCACCTCCAAACTATTTTTCCCTTTTTGTGCATTCCTTGAATTACAGAGTGCTTTGCATTTAAGTGCTATTGCTAAATTGGCGTACCTGCTCCTCGTAGATCTTCTCCCGCCGATTGGCCACTTCGTTGCGTATGACGGTTCCGATGTACTCGATGACCATCGTGTGCTTCTCCAGGTCTTTGGAAGCGTACAGCCCCAGGCCCTGGATGCGCGACCGTGCCAGATACACGTTGTTCTTCCACTCAGTCTTCAGCCGTCGATACTGGGACGACTTGGAGTGGACGAACTGCTTGCTGTACGGTGTGTTGAGCTCTCCAGTGAAGGTGCTCTGGTACGCCTTCGACACGCTGGTGCTGTTTAGAGTGTGAGGCCTTCAGACAAACAGAGTGTGAGTGGGTATCCAGACATTTCTAAGATATATTTGGAAATGTGTGGTTCTTTGTAAATAAAATGTCTACAGCAATAGTACAACAAATTATTAGTTTCAAATGCTGTGCCTTGGTTTCTAAATGAGCTGCAATTCCTTTTATCCAACATTGAAAGTCACGTCAAACTATTTGATTCAAGCCAATTAGTTTTGTGAATGTTGCCAGTTGGAGTACACATTTTATAGAACTTAAATAATAAACAGTTTTAGCATTATCACACAGGTTTTACTTTGTCAGTTATGTTATGTCTACCAGAACATGTGTACAGCAGAGTTTTTTGTAAACCTGTTTTGGCTAATTGTTCAAATGATGCTGCTTTACCTCTTGATCTGTGTGGGGACTTTGGCCTCAGAGCGAGCAGAGCCAGAGGGATTGATCATGAGAGGGAGCTCCATCAGAGGGTGACGGCCGTATCGAAACTGGTAGTTCTGGCAATTCTCCACTCCAGGCAACTGAAACACAACAAACACAAGGCAAGGCAAGGCACGTTTATTTATATAGCACCTTTCAACACGAGGCAATTCAAAGTGCTTTACAAAAAACGAAAGACATTAAGAAAATGGCATTTAAAATCAGTCATTAAAAAGAAAAAATAATAAAATAAACATTAAAAGAAAAAGTACATGGATAATAGTTACAGTGCAGTCTAAGATATGAATAGTTCAATTAAACATTAAAAGAAAAAGTACATGGATAAAAGTTACAGTGCAGTTTAAGATATGAATAGTTCAATTAAAAGCAGCGACAAAAAGAAAAGTCTTCAGCCTGGATTTAAAAGTAGTCAGAGTTGCAGCGGACCTGCAGGTTTCTGGGAGTTTGTTCCAGATATTTGGAGCATAATAACTGAACGCTGCTTTTCCATGTTTAGTTCTGACTCTGGGGACAGAAAGCTGACCAGTCCCTGAAGACCTGAGAGATCTGGATGGTTCATAATTTAGCAGGAGGTCAGAAATGTATTTTGGGCCTAAACCATTCAGTGCTTTATAAACCAGCAGCAGTATTTTGAAATCTATTATTTGACACACAGGAAGCCAGTGTAAAGACTTCAGAACAGAAGTGATGTGATCCACTTTCTTAGTGTTAGTGAGGACTCGAGCAGCAGCGTTCTGAATCAGCTGCAGCTTCCTAATAGATTTTTTAGTGAGACCTGTGGAGACACCATTGCAGTAGTCGAGTCTACTGAAGATAAAAGCATGGACAAGTTTTTCCAAATCCTGCTCCAACACACATCATGTTATCCATGCACTTTGATCTACAGATCCAATACTCTACTGATTTGGCAGGTAAACTTTAAAGTTGTTTGTTTTTTGTCACAAGTTTACTATATAAGGAGATGACAACCCCTAGTATGTGTGGATATTGGTTTTCTAAGTGCTTGAATTACAACTGGGAGACAAAGACCAATTAACTGTGATACTGATACTGTTTCCTGACACATTTCCTTACCGACTCAGTGATACGCATGACAGCATGAATTGTAAGGCCATACATCTCCTCTCCCTTGACATGCTCAGTGAACAGCTTCAACATGGCCGAGTCATCTCGGAGTTTAGCAACCTGCTGAACCACCCGCTCCCAGATCCCTAAAGACAAGAGAGGTGAATTAAACACTTTCATATCAAGAGGACAAGTATAACAGATTCACAATGCAACTTGAAAGCAAGTGAAAGCACTTCAGGAGTCTTTACCTTCTGGAGTAGTGTCCCGGTACTGCAAATCCTCCATGCCTTGCTCCAAAACACGCACCTCGAACAGAGGGCGACCATCGTCCTCGTTGATGCGGCAGCGGTAGCGGCAGCGCTTGTTGGGCACACGTGTGCTCCAGTAGATGCGTGTGGCCTCATAGCCAACAGGGAAGATGGCAGTGGACGAATGGAAGTTGGCCATCTGGGATGGTAGCAACTGACCAACAGCATGGAAGATGAGACCACCCACACGGAACAGGTGGATACGGTCACCCCGCTGTAAGATGCTGGCAATCTGCTTCACCTCGTCACGCTCAATGTACACACGCCGTAAAACAGCAAACATGCCGAGTTCATCTTCACTGGGGCCCTTCAGCTTGTGCTGGGTGCACAACATGGTCTTGTCCTTGAAAAACATGCAGCGTGCCCTAATGGCGCAGGCGAAGTGGTAAACATTCGGGCAGCGCATTCTGTTGCAGCCGTTTGTGGCCCCTGTTTTCTGGCAGTATGCGCAAAGAGTCCGCAATCCGCGACGCAGGGCTACCTCCACATTGATAAGGGCCCCGCCCTGCGTCTCATACACCTCTGTGGACCACAGGGCACAGTTGAGGTGCACCCACAAGTCCACATCAATGTTGAGCAACCGGCCCGGCCCATCTGTGGCTCCGTCAGCTTCCTCGTGGCAGAAGCAGCATTTACGTTTATCTCGAGGAAGTTTGTCTGGTCGTAGAGTAATGCGAAGGCGTTCCATTAGCTCCGACACCTCGCGGCTGCTCTCTTTCTTAGACCCACCCTTACGTATCGTGATGACAATCTGTAGGCGCTTCCAGCGAATCCCCTTCCATTTCTTCTGTTTGGGATGTATCACCTCATCAGGGGAGAGCGGCCTGCGCTGCTTGATAGCCTTTGGGGAAGACTCCATGATGTGTGCCGAATCTTTAGTTGGTTGATCCAGATCTGTGGCCAAGTTCTCCTCCTTGATAGCAAGACTCAGACGATCTTCAGAAGGAGCAAGATCAGTAGGAACTGGAGCTTCAGAGGCAGATGCTGGATCAGAGCCTGACTCTGGAGCAGCAACCTCAGATCCTGGAGCAGCATCTTTAGACTGTGTTGCAAGATCTTTAGACTCTGGTGTGTTATCTTCCGACTGTGGTGCAGCCTTCTGAGACTCTGGAGGAGCAACACCAGACTCTGTGACATCAGTTGGTTGAGCAGCATCAATAGGAGGACCATCACCCAGTTCAGGTTCAGTCTTTATCTTGATCTGAAGGGTAGGACTGGAGGAAGGAGGAGATGGAGAAGCTGATTTGTTGGAGGGTTCAGCTTCACAAGTGGGAGCTGGGACCGATGGAGGAGGATGTGGAGGGGAAGGCGATGGAGGGGAAGGCGATGGAGGGGGAGATTCTTCCACTGGAATAGCCGGAAGGTGGCGAACATCTAAGTCGGAGACTTTGGTGGTGTAACAGTGCAGAGCCGGTTTGTCTTCTCCGTCTGGGAACTCCTGAGAGAAAAATGAACATATGAGGTTAACACTCTTCAGGGAATATACCGTATGCTGCATTTGATTGTATTACATCAAATCAATATTTCACACAGTTCTTAAAGGTCCCATGTCCTGCTTTTCCAGTTATTACCCGTCACCTTGTGAGCTATGAACGTTTTTCTGCATGTAAACGGTCTGCAAAGTCACAAACCCTAAAAGTACACCCTGTAGCGAATAAAACTCTAACACAGAAAAAAACCTGTCTATGCTGCCCCAGAACGCCTCGTTGGAGAATTCTCTTTTTCCATTGTTTTCTTCCTGGGTACAGTGACGTGCCCATACCCAAATGGACCAATCCGTGGAGCTCCTCACACACACACACACACACACACACTCTCTCTCAGCGGCAAAACTGTGACCCGTTGGGGGGGGGGGGGGGGGGGGGGGGGAGGAGGGGTGTGTGCTAGTGGAGCCTCGCAGCTGGGAAACAGGCGCGCTTACACTGTAGGTGCGCCGCGTTTTGGGGGTGCGGGTGCTAGTGAAGCCTCGCAGATGCTCGCACTGCGTCCATTCGCGATGTCACGGCACCCAGACCCCACGCAGCATTCTCATCTGTTTGTCATTACTGGTGTCATTTTCTGGTTGCTAACAAACGCCATTGTAACACATAATCACTGATGTTCCGCTGTAACGGTGGTGGACTCATCAGAACAGAGTGGCCGAGCTGACCAATCAGAGCACAGTGGGCTCACAGGGAGGGGGGGGGGGGGGGGGCAGGAGCTCCAACAAGCCGTTTAGGACAGAGAGTGAATACACATACTATGCAGAGATGCTGTATGAGAAACCAATGTGAGTTTGGAACATTGAACAATGTAAATCTATTCTAGTATACCTCAACAATGGAATTATGATCAGTAGAAATGGCCATGACATGGGACCTTTAAAACTGTGATGACGTACCTGTTTTATGAGAGCCAGAATGTCCACTTGTTTCTTCAACGTACAGCCTGGTAGAGACACGTCAAATTGCCTTAGCCACTCATCCTGACTGAGTGAAGCCCCGTCCTTTGTACACAAAGCCCCTGGAAAACATGACCATCTTATTATGAATCTTTATTTATGGTTTGATAGACTTACAGGTCGTTCTAGCAGTGAAGTCACTCTACAACAGCAACTTTCCACAACTCTCATGCTCAAGCTAAAACTCGTTAGGTTAGGTTAGGTTAGGTTAGGTTAGGTTAGGTTAGGTTAGGTTAGGTTAGGTTAGGTTAGGTTAGGTTAGGTTAGGTTAGGTTAGGTTAGGTTAGGTTAGGTTAGGTTAGGTTAGGTTAGGTTAGGTTAGGTTAGGTTAGGTTAGGTTAGGTTAGGTTAGGTTAGGTTAGGTTAGGTTAGGTTAGGTTAGGTTAGGTTAGCCCTTGCTGGCCATTAGAAAGAATACAAGTTTAGGGCCCTTCCAGCATTGGCTTCACTTTTCAAAACCGGAGATTTCCACTTGTATGAGCCACACTCACAGTATGTTATCGTGATCGTCTGAACCCTATGAGACAACATGAACAGTAATCTCTAAATTCATACCTGACTGCTCTGGTCCTTTTCCAGGCCCCTCCACTCCAGACATGTCAGGGTTTTGGGTTGGGAACGTCACCTCATAAGAACCTGGCATCCGTATATTAAGCAGCTGGGCCATGGCCAACATGACGTGGTTCAGTTTCTGGAAAAAAGTCAGTTCAAATTTGTGTTAACTGCGTGAAAATAGAGAAAGGTTAAACAGAGTCAAAGATATCATAGCTTTGTACCTTGGCTGCAGCAGAGGACAGGGTGAAGGTGACGGCCACTTCGTTGTTTTTGGCCTTGTCCCAATTGTTGGTGGTGGAAACCACCTTGCTATCGGATGCTTCAAATGGTTTGTTTTCTGGGAATGCTACAAAAGAAAATGAGTACATTATTTGTATATGCAGTTTGCATAAAAGCTCGCATTTAAGTTATATAACAGTTTGATATTAGATACATATATACGTAAAACGTCCAGAATGTTGTGTAATACCTGGGATGGCAGTACGAGGTATGAGGGGGATGATTGGGGATATTGCTCTCTCCGTCTCCTCCTCTTTGGGTTCCCGTAGGTGAGGGAAACGTGGCGTTTCATCTCCTACGTTACTCTCAGGAGAAGATGCCGGAATGATGCTTTCTGGAGCGTCCTCATCATCACTCTCCATCCTGTAAGAGAGACATTTCCTACATTAAAAGCCATTCAGCAACAAAAAATCCACGTATTCAAGCAGACATCAGACTTCTCCTGTGGTACCTGATGTCCTCATTCTGGTTGTGTGGTGGGGTGGGGAGAGCTGCTAGGATGTCTACACTCTTCACCTCCTCTTTCACAGAATCTGCAGGGAAAATATAAAGTATTTAGAACCACATTTTATATTCATGAAAAACATTCATTCATGCCAAATCCTTCATTGTTTACCCATTGGCTCTTCTGCTGTCTCGGTGTCTTTCTGACCCTCAGACAGCTCCTCCCCAGAAGTCACTCCATTCAGCAGCTTGTGCTGGACTGAAGGCGGAGGAGTAGGTGGCAGCGAGGATGGAGGTGTTGGGGGGTTGCTAAGGTTACTCTGTAAAGGCAAACAACAGTTTCATTGTAAAACAACTTTGTTTTTAAAGTTTCCAACCTTTGAATTGCTTTAATTAGAGGTGCAACGATAAAACAAAAAAATAATCGGATGTGTTGTCGATAACAAAAATATAGTATAGTATTCCAGCATGATGTGTATGTATATGCGTGTGTATACACATATTTTATTTATCCTTTGTGGTCTATCTAGATTATTGTGATTATGTAAATGAGGATTATTAGTATTATTCAATTGTTGTCAAATTGTGGATGTGCTGTGTGGCTGTCTGTGGGGGGGTGGGGGTTGTTGTGTATTGTTCTGTATTTTGTGTTAAATGTGTGAAACTCAATAAAGAGTATTTATAAAAAAGAAGAAAAAAATATATATATAGTATAATAATATATGCTGTCCTACTAGCAAATCAGCAAGCAAATGTTGGCACAGCCTGCAACAGCTAACCATTACATGTTTCGTTTTACCTTTGTGAGTAACTGTGAATAATAGTCAGGGATATTGTCCAGCACTGCATTTCCAAAGGATCCTTTGAGCTGGGCTTTGCCGTTGGCTGGGCTGCTTCCGAAAGGGGCAAACAGATCCAGGCTGGCAGTGATTGAAGGCTCCATCAGGGGCAGTAGAGAGAGACCCTGAAGGGTGAATCGGTTACATTACATTACATTACATTGCATTTAGCTGACGCTTTTGTCCAAAGCGACAAGGTTAGGTTACACAAGGATGAACCACTTGAAACATTTCATGAAACTTAATTTAGCTATCCCTTTACCTGTTTGAGTTGCTTTAACAGGGCTTCAGCACTTTTTCCAACTTCTTCCTTCTTATTCTTCTTCCGTGCATTAGGGCCTCGGTCTCCAGCTGCCTTGTTACTGCGCTTTGGCTTTTGTACCGGAGACCTTTTGGTTATAGACTGTAAATCCTGTAAGATAAATAAAAAAGGAATGAGAGATTCTTTCCCCACCAAAAACATTATGCAAAAAAGAAAGCATTCAAGAAAAACATACCTCCATATTTCGTGGAGTTCCTTGAAGTTTTTGCTCCAGCATTGCTAGTTTACTGTTAATGTGGCCATTTATTTCATTGTGGATTCCTTCAGAGGGCCTTTGGGCACCAAGCTGAAGGTTCTTGGTTCTCAGGAGTTTCTGAAGTAGTTGCTGTCCAGTTTCAGGGCGAGGGCCTTGACTCCCAGGATCTCCAGCATTGATGAATCCAGTGTTGTTAGCAGAAGTAACTGCCTCCCCCGTTGCCTCTCTCTTTATAGCCCCAGAATGAGCCTCTGGTGCACCATCACAATGAAACTCCCTTGGCTCCTGTTTAATGTTCTGTAGGGTCATCTTGTATATCTCTCCTACTCTAGAGCCATGTTGTGTGTGAGGACCGTGGCTCTCTGAGACCTGCTGCACATGTTGCTGAATATTCATGACTTTCTGTGGACCGTTGGGAATAACTGAGCCTGGGTGAGACATTTCATTGCCTGATATCTGAGCTTCCATTTTCATTCCTGGACAATCAAGTGGACTCTTGGCTCCAGGTGACCTGAGTGGAGATGCCTTGACGTGGCTGTACGGACTCCCCCTTCCAGCCCTACTGTCAGCTATAGAAGGTGAGGAAACATGCGATGAGTGAGGTGAGGCCGGGTGGGCTGGGCTCATGCCGAAGGGCCCTCTAGGTGAGTATGCATGGGATGGAGAACCCTGCATGCGGCCTGCTGCAGCTGCCATCATTGCTTGTTGGTTCTGGTTGGGAGTGGGTGGACGCATCCCCATAGCTGGATTAAATGGATGCCCAGGAGAGTTGGCTATTGGCTGACGTGGAGATGTTGGTCTTACCATGCGGCCCTGGTCCAATGGGGAAGGTGGCACTGGCACCTGGCCTCTCATCATATGTTGCTGCATAATCTCTCCCACCTGTTGCTGTTGTTGCCCGGGGACCATCATCCCTTGCTGCATTTGGGGAGCCACAGCAGGTTGTTGGCCCAACATGCCCGGTTGTTGCTGAGGGCCCACTACTCCTGGTTTCCCGATGGCTCCATATGGCATCTGCTGCACAACCTGTGGCATCTGTCCCAGTGGCATCTGTCCCTGTGGCATGTTAGGCCTTAACTGACCTTGTCCCATGGACATCCGCAACATCTGTCCCTGTTGGAGCTGCCTCTGGGCAATCATGGCCTGGATGTGCTGAATCTGCTGGTTTGGAGGAAGATTACGAAGCTGGGGATTCTGAGCAATTATGGCCTGGATGTTGATGGGGGTGCGGATCTGTCCAGGTGGACCCACAGGCCTCTGTGCTATCATCCCTTGCTGCTGGGCTCTCATCATGCCCATCATGGCCTGTTGCTTTTGCTGCTGGGCCATGAGGGCTTGTTGTTGTTGTTGTTGTTGTTGATGTTGTTGTTGTGGATTATGACCCATCACAACAGGCTGTGGCTGGCCAGGATGGTTCTGGCCTATGATCTGCTGCTGGAGGTTGGGGTTTGGTGATTGCTGCATGGCATTTTGACCTGCTTGCTGTTGTTGCTGATGAGCCAAGAATTCAATTGGTTTGACTTCCTCCTTTATGGTCATCATCATCATAGGCTGGTCACCACCGAGGGACCCTTGCCTCTGGAGAGTGAGAGGATGTTGTTGCTGATGTTGCTGAAGCACAACAGCTTGTTGGTTTTCAACCAAGCCTGTTTGTTGCTCAGGGGCAGACTGGGGATTTAATTGTTGCTGCTGAGCAATATACATCTGCTGCTGCTGCAGCTGCTGCTGCTGCTGCTGCTGCTGCTGCTGCTGCTGCTGCTGCTGCTGCTGCTGCTGCTGTAACTGCTGTCGTCCCAAGTCATTCTGATGATCATTTGCAGAGCCTAGGTGGGACATCTGATTGGGTGTTGAGGGTCCACTATGCTGTGGTGGCGTTCTTGAATCAGGGCTGAGGATCCCGCCCTCTTTGGGGCCTGAGTTTTGGTTGTCAGTAGCTGCTTGTGGCTGCGGTGTGATGCTTCCTGCTGAAGGCGAGGAGCCCATCTGTGGGGTAGAGGGTTGGGAGAGGACTCCTTGCTCTTGGCTGGACTGACTGATCAACTGTGTTTGTCTCTGCTGTGCCATCTGCTGCTGCTGAAGGTGTGCCATATTCTTTGCAACATGTTGCTGCTGCTGCTGTTGTTGTTGTTGTTGTTGTTGTTGTTGTTGCTGCTGAGATGCAGCCATGCGTTGGGCCAGTATGCTCTGTTGTTGTGGAGTCAATTGGGTCTGGGGAGCCCTGAGCACAGGATGACCCGGAGAACCAACCATTCCCTGCTGACCCACCACCAGCTGAGGCCTCTGTTGCTGTGATGGTGCAACAGTGGGGTTTCCCATAACCCCTGGTTGAACTGCCATCATGGCTTGAGCATGGTTCATAGGCTGGCCTCCTGCGAGGTTCTGTGGAAGTGGAGCCACAGACTGGCCTCCAACCATTCCTTGTGGGACATGCACCATACTCTGCTGATTGGCCTGGTTGACTAGCATTCCCTGTTGAGGGTTTGCTTGCTGTTGGGCCATAAGTGGGCTCCCCATCATGCCGGGCGGTGGCTGGGGGACTAAGCCAGGCGGTTGATTTGGGTGTGGCATCGGTTGCTGCCCCATCATCACCTGTTGTTGCTGCTGTTGCTGCTGGAGCTTTGCCATTTGCATCCTATGTTGAAGCTGTCTTTCTTGGAGAAGCCTGGGGTCTGCACCTTGAACTCTAGGCCCCTGTGGGAAGAATCCTGTTGGAGCACCAGGTGGACCAGGGGCCCTGGCAACACTGGCTCCCATGGCTGCAGGAAGCTGGGGTTGGGCTCCACCAACAAAAGGCTGCCCCTGAGGCATCCTGACAGGCATTCCACCTTGGGGCATCACACCAGGGTGTTGGCCCATTACTGGTGTTCCCTGTTGGCCAATCATCATCTGGCCAGGCATCTTGGGAAACATGTGAGGAGGGGCCGCCTGTGCAGAATGACCTGGGGTAAGAATACCTGAGCTTTGTTGATGCTGCTGCTGCTTGCTTCTGTACTCGGCAATGAGATTGGTGTGCTCCTTCTGCTGCTTGCGTACCTGGAACAATTATGAACATATATCATTTTGCAAATCTAGATGCCATGTGCCGTTTCTGTGGACACCTTTTTATACATAAACTGTTAATGTAGTTCATATAAAATCTACACACCTGGTCAAGCTGTTTTTGAATTTTGCTCTGCTCTTCTGTTACCAACTTTAGTTTCTCTGCATCTGTCTCAGCAAACTCCCTGCCAGCTTTCTTAGCAGTGCGTTGCTTAGCACACAGTGCTTTGCGTGATTTGCGGTGAACTCCAATCTGTTCCTCCAAGAATTTTAACTGCATTTGGAGTAACTGCTGGGTGTGCAGAAGCCATTCTTCATATTGGTGCTGTTCTGCATCATCTGTAACAGAAAGATTAAGTTAAGACAACCACAAAAGAGGAAACAGCAATATAACCTTTTTCAAATTATGAAATGTATTTTTATCGGCAGTAAGGGTAGAACGTACTGATGATTCCTTGCACAAACTGAGGCGGGTTAGGTCTCGACACTGTAGGATCACTTGTTTCTCCCTCCTAAACACAAACAAACATTTATTAATTAAGCTACATAAGAGTGAAAATAAAAGTTAATCAATACAGTTTTGACAAGCCTGACAGCATACCTTTGGAGGTACAAGTGTAGGCTGATTTGGATCTGTGCCGGGGGCAGAGGACAGCCTCTGAGCAAGCAGAGACACTTGTTGCCTGAAAAGGAATCAAAACATAAAACATACAACTATAACTGCAACATACCAAACAATTGTCTGGGATGGAAAGTTGTTTCCAAATCATTCATCGAAAACGTTAAAATGATCAAGATGTTTTCATCACCATGAGTGTTTTGTTATATTGAATAAGATAGGACAGTTAAACTTTGATACTGCTACATACCAATTCACTGTCTTTTAAAATTAGGAGTGGAGAACAGTTTGAAGATAAAACAACATGCTTTATCTGCAACTCTTCTACAGGGATAGTCCCTCGCACAACACATCCTACTCAAACTAGCAATCTTTAAATATTGGAGATTTCTTTTCTTTACACATTTCTGTTTTTTTCATTTAAATGTTTCTGTTTTTATTAGGGCCGGGACTCGATTAAAAAAATTAATCTAATTAATTAGATGCTTTGTAATTAATTAATCGAAATTAATCGCATTTTTAATCACATATAAATATTTGACCTGAGAACAGTGAGAAGCAATTTTTTTCACATGGATTTTAGTATACCATTAGGCGCATTCACACCGCAGTACTTTTCCCACAAAGGTTCATGAGAACTTAGTTCATGAGAACTCTTTGAACCTGGGGGAGGATTAGGCAAATGAAGCCGCTGACGTCACTTCTTCTTCTTCTGCTTTGGGTTTACTGGCAGGACGCAAACCACTTCACGGCGTATACTGCCGCCCAAAGTCCCCGGCCGGAAGTCCCCGGAGTTGGGGACTGGCTTCAGTAGAAGCTGCTGGGACTCCCAGCAGCTTCTACTGCAGCCTTCCGAGTAAATCGCCAGAACGCCGACACCTCCTCATCTCCACCGCTCCCATGTTTTATTTTGTGTTGCCATAAGTTAGTCTCTCTGCGTTTCTGCGCTGGGCTAATGCTAATAATGCTAATGCGAGGATAATAAAATGGCGGCTTCACAAAACTTTTTGGGAGTTTTACGGGGCGTGGTTTGCAATCCGCCCAGCCAATCAGAAATATAGCTATTTTCTCACAAGAGAGCCTTACGAAAGTCCCTGCTCTCTAGCAGCTCTCTGCTCTCTAGCAGGGACTTTCATGAACTAATTTTAGTACCGGCTCTTTTTGGTGTGAACGCGATAAAAGAGGCTAACGTCCACGCTAGCTGCTATATGTTTTGCATTGAGGTGATACTTGAGGCTTGATGTGCTGCGGTGGTATGCGAATTCCTTTTTGCATAATTTGCACACAACCGTGCTCTTATCGACGCTTCCATCCGTCCGTTTTTTAAAACATTTCCCACTGTTGTTCACTGTGGTTTGTTGTCTGAAGTCATGAACGTTAGTTGGTGCTCCAGTATAATCGGTACGCCTGAAACTCATCCAGTGAGAAACGTTCCGCGGTGCAAAAATAAGTGCGATTAAAATGCGTTAATTTTTTTAACGCGTTAATTTTTGTGTAATTAATTAATCTTAATTAACGCGTTAAAGTCCCGGCCCTAGTTTTTATTCAAAATCAACTTAAAATTGTTTATTAAACTCAAACGTAAGGCCCTCCAAAAATCTACCGAACAAATTGAAGTAAAAATAAATACCTGTTAATGCCAGGGGGAACAGCCATTGGATCCTGTGCCAACACTCTCTTGATACCCTTAAGGGCCACCATCTTTGCCTTGGCAATTGGATCCATGATGTCATCGGTAGCAAATGTGTCCAAATCTGCAATGAAATAGGAAAAAGGTCTGATGATACAGTGACATGGATGGAAGATATTTGATCCCAGAAATAATTCAGATGAACGATGTTAATGTGATTTTAGCCCTTTTATGCCACTAAGAATGATGAAATGATCGCATAGTAAGTACATCTAGTAAGTACATCTAGTAAGTACATCTAGTAAGTACATCTAGTAAGTACATCGAGTAAGTACATCTAGTAAGTACATCTAGTAAGTACATCTAGTAAGTACATCTAGTAAGTACATCTAGTAAGTACATCTAGTAAGTACATCTAGTAAGTACATCTAGTAAGTACATCTAGTAAGTACATCTAGTAAGTACATCTAGTAAGTACATCTAGTAAGTACATCTAGTAAGTACATCGAGTAAGTACATCGAGTAAGTACATCTAGTAAGTACATCTAGTAAGTACATCTAGTAAGTACATCGAGTAAGTACATCGAGTAAGTACATCTAGTAAGTACATCTAGTAAGTACATCTAGTAAGTACATCTAGTAAGTACATCGAGTAAGTACATCTAGTAAGTACATCTAGTAAGTACATCTAGTAAGTACATCGAGTAAGTACATCTAGTAAGTACATCTAGTAAGTACATCTAGTAAGTACATCTCTTAGAAAAATGTAAAACAAAATGCTAAATTAAAAAAAAGTGTTCAATGCCTGTGCAATTAAAAAAAAATATGTATGGGAGGGAAGACTAAGATCTTATTGGTAAGAATGTTGGTGACATTCTTGTCAAAAATAATGTAAATATAACATTAACTATTAAAATAATTATTAAGGCTATGTCCATTGCTGCATTATGTCATAAGGCTATGAGCTTACCTTTATCTGGGAAGAAGTTGTTGGCCAGAGGCAGTTTAATCCCAGGCTGCGGTTGATGACCGACACCCGGGTGGATCCCCGGCGGCCCCATCCTCACCATGGCTTGCTGCTGGGCCATGTTCATGGGAGGTGCCATTCCAGTTCCCATAAGTCTTTGCTGCTGCTGCTGCTGCTGCTGCTGCTGCTGCTGCTGTTGTTGTTGTTGTTGTTGTTGTTGTTGTTGTTGTTGTTGCTGCATCATGTGCGGGGAACGGGGTACCATCCCTGGCTGAGCCATCATTCCCTGTGGTGGTGGACGATGGTGGTGTGGCAGCATTATCTGGCCCGGAGTCTGAGGGTGCGGCTGTTGTTGACTTGAGATGCCAGGAAAATTAGGCGCCATGCCTCCCTGGTGGAGGGAGTTGAGATGCTGCTGCTGCTGCTGCTGCTGCTGCTGCTTCTGTAGTTCTTTCTTCTCATGCTCCAGCAGATCCTGTATAAGAAGGGGCAGCTCACCATCTAAAGAGCTCTCTACCTTTGCCAAATCTACAGCAGGGGAGTGCTGTCCACCAACATCAGGCAGACCCAGTGGATCATCATTCATATTTGAATGTGAAGCAGCTGAAGGAAAAGGCAATCCACCAGCTTGTCCTGGGAGGGGGTACTGAAGTCCCCCTAACCGAACAGAACTGAGTGAAGCCGACTGGTTATCTGGTTGTGCAGACTTGGAAGAGGGCGTGGTCCCACCAAGAAGCATTGACACAGCCTCTCCAAATTCATCTTTTACCACAGTGTGTCCTGGATGCGTCTGAGTCATACCTCTGTCCTCTATTTTGACCTTGGAGATATCACATATGTCTGCAGAGGGTGGCAGTTGAGTAGCAGACCCTCTTGCAGTGCCAGCAACTGTTGTGACCTTCTGTCCTGGCTCCAACTTGGCTTTTACTTCCACTTTAACATGTGCAGATCCAGAAGAAGATGCAGGTGCTTCACTCTCTGCTTCCACTAACCGGAGCTGGTCTGAGAAGACATCTTTCGGGTCTCCTTGGTCCAGTTCAGGGTCAGCGTAAGCCAGCAGGTCAAACTCGTCACTGTTAAGCAGGTCGTCTAAATGTGGATCATTGGTCTCCAGGTTGTCCAAGTTGCCCAAGTCATCATCTCCCTTGTCAGGGTCCAAGTCCAGAGCCAAATCATCCTCATCATCCACACCTCCATCCCCTGGGGCATCCCCAAGGCCTTCAAGGTCAGGTTCTGGCAGCTCCTCATTACTCACTGCTGTTGCAGGCTGGGAGTGTGTGACCAGGCTTGGTTGTTGGAGATGATGCTGCTCAGTGCTAGGAATGCTTGTATTGGAAGTAGCTGCCTGGTGCTGCAGGTGGGGATGCTGTGTTATTGGGCCTGTTGACTGAGGCATTAAAGCTGGAAGTCCACCCTGCTGTAACCTAAGATGCGAGTTGCTGCCCCCGTCAGTTTGAATGCCACCAGCTTGACCCATTGGATGTTGCTGAACAAAAGATGCTGCCATCTCTTGCTGAGGGACAAAGTGCCGTTGTCTCGGCTGGGGTATACGGGGCATAAACTGAGGTCGTAGGGGTAGTCTTTGTGAGTTGTGTCTCAATTCAATGAACTGTGGTGGAGGCCCTTGACCCATTGACTGCATGGTCTCTCCTCCATGTCCTGGCATCATGGCGTGAGGGTTACCCATGCCTTCCATACCCTGCATGTTGACAGCAGGATTGAGATTGTGTCTTATGCCCATGGACTCCATGCCGGGCTGGGGGAACCTCCTTGGGCCTTGAGCCTGGCCCTGCCACTGAGGAGGGAACGGTTGACGAACAAACATGCCCTGAGGTCTGGGGGGCCCCGGTTGCCTAAATGACAGAAGAGAAAATATGTTAACGTTTTAACATTTCTTGAATTTTCTTTTTTACAAAGTGAAAACATTGTGATTCGGCATATTGTAAATCCACATGGTTGACGTGGTTACCTTAGTGCATTAGGATCCATGATGGCAGGGGTTCCTGTAGGTGGAGGGCGAATGACCCCCATGCCTCCAGTCATAGGCATCTTTGTTGTCATAGAAGCCTGAGCAGTAGCAGCAGCAACACGATCCTAAAGGAAGTAATGATGGCAAAAAGAGGCAGAGGTAACATTCCTTTTGTTCGTTTATAGAACACTTTTATCCAAACCTCATTCGAATGTTCTGCCATACATCCACTCTCGCACATTAATGGATGCGAGCTACAATGCAAGGCACTCATCTGACCATCTTTCACTAACATCAGAGAGGTCAAAGTACATCCTCAGCTATCAAGTGGTGCAATTACAATGAGTGACATTCAAAGGTATCTGAAGTCTAAAGCATATTCGTAAGGTGCATACCTGTGGATAAGGTGGCGGTGCTCTGTGAGCCTTGTCTTGTTGAAAGGCTCCCATCTCTCCTCCAGGCCAGCCAGGGGATCCACTGCCAGCAGCAGCCGCTGCAGCAGCCTCCTTCTCTTGTCTGATGGTGTTTCTCTGCAGTTTTTGTCTGATTAAGAATTCCCGTAGTCTGAGTCGCTGAAAAAAACAAAAACATAACAAGAATTGATTAGAAAAACACCTGAAAAGTGCAGAGCATGATTGTTAATGGCTAATATGTTCATACCTGTCGGTGCTTCTCTAGCTCAGCGGGGCTGAGGCCGACTAAGGCAGGGTCCTGAACTGCTGAAATGTCAGGCATTTCTGGAGTGCTTGGCAGAGCAGGCTGCTGATGTGCATCTGGAGGGCGGACAGCCATCAGATCTTGAGATCCGGAGAGATTTGGCCCCCTGGAGCCAAAGCCGTCTGTCTGTAGAGTTTGTGGCTGTTGTTGCTGAAGCTGACCCTGTAACATCTGACTCTGCTGTTGGGTCATTTGGAAGCCTCCCGTGCTGGGGCTGCGACTGAAAGTAAGAGGTGCTGACGGTTTACCAGAGAGAGGGTCCCCTATGGAACTGTTGGTGGGATGTGGTGGAGGTGGCTGGTGAGGATTGGGTGAGCCTTTGTAAATTGCTGTTCCCTCTGGGGCAACAGAAGGGGGGCGAGGGGGTTTGTGGAGAGTAGCAAAAGGGTCTCTAGATTGTGGTCTTGAAGGTGGCTGAGAACAAGGGTCCGGGGATTGGAAACGAGGCGTAGCGGGAGAATGGACAGAGTAAGCATCATTGGAGAGGCCCCCGGGAGTGTGGGGAGACTGAGAGCTGCCCTGTGAATTTGGGCTGGAGGGCACTCGAGGGCACATTTCCTGTTGAGCAACAGGATGTCTCTGGGGCCCGAGAGGACAATTGTCGGCTGACTGCGGCCTGGGAGTCAGTGGTGACTGGGCGTGGGGGTCAGAGAAAGAGTGAGAAGGAGACTGCCTGTAGCCTTCAGAGGGGTGTCCTGGAGATGCTCCAGGATGCACCTCCCCTTGGTGCATTCGTGGAGTCATAGGTGCCTTGAACAAGCCATCCCCCGAGTCCAGCATCCCAGCAGGAGAGCCAGTGGATAGATCAGGCCTCCCAGCAGAGGAGCGTGGAGAGGGGGCACTCACATCAGCCCTGTACTGCCCTGCAGGGGAGGAAGTCACTGCAGAGGGCGACGGGGATGAACCATATTCAGGCCGGCCCATCCCTTGCTGGTTTCTGAAAGGGTCTCCGTAATGGGTGTTGTGGGGTGGTGAGAATATTGGCGACTCCCCAAGCCCTGAACCTCTCGAATGAGGACTCTCTGGATGTCCGAGTGACTCCTGGGAGCCTTGCTGTGATTGTGGTAGATGACCCTGTTGCTGCTGTAGCTGTGATCTGAAGTAGGGGTCAACCTGCTGAGCCCGTCTGGGGGTTCCAGGAGTTCCTGGTTGCATGTCAAAGGGGCCAAGGCTGGCTGGCCGTCCCTGAGGAGGACCCTGTGGGCCGGAAGCGGAATAACCTGAGGAAGAGGCCTGTAAAGGGCTGGCCACAGCATGGGGGAACGGTGTGGTTGGGTGAGAGTGAGAATGAGGTGACTGAGGAGGAAGCTTGGCCAAGGGATCTGTCCGGATTTCAGCCGAACCCGGAGTCCTAAGAGGCCCGTCTGAGAAAAAGACAGAGGAGGATCCTGAATCTGGAGGGAAGGGAAATGGACTCTCTGCAGAACTGGGCTGGGAAGAGATGGATGTAAAGCCTGAAGGTGGAGGGATCTGGAGGTGCAAACTGGGCCGTTCCGTCTTCACACGCACTCCCTCCGTTTTTATAGGCCTGCACACCTGACTCTCCGCCTGCTGTGGGAAGAGGAGAGTACAGAGGAAGCATGAATGATATGCATCACCACTGAATGAAAGGTATCAAACCATGCATTTGCTTTGAAAAAGAAAAAGGATTCTTCAGCTTTAGTCACCTTCTGTGCCTTGTTGATCCTCTGAGCTGCTCGGTTATCTTTGGCCTTTTGCTATAAAAAGTAATGAGATTGTTTCAATATTATAAATGCCATTTTAACTTATGCATAACAAAAACATGCATTATTATAAATCAGCATGTAAAAATGGGCCATGTTAAGTTATAGTGCAGTAATGTCATCCTGAGCAGAGAATGAAGTTATATTTTGCTGTTAGCAATGTTAGCTACTTGTCAAAGAGTCAGCCATGTTGAGAGCCGTGATCAATATACCTTTAAATGCAGATATACTGTACTTAAATGTCAATACGGATGATCTTACTACTAAATGTAGTAATGCCCAGCAGAAATTTAAACATTTGAGTTACAGTTTTGTTTATTTCTGTATTTGGTCATTTTTCACTCAAGGCTTTATGTATAGAAAGTGAAGGTACAATAAGCCATTAGAGACAATTCAAACAGAATAACAAGAACTCAAGCTCTATGATAACCATTTGGGAAAATGCACAACATGAGAACCGCAGGAAACAATTGTTGATTTGATATAAAAGGTATAGATCTTTTTTTAATTATATTATATATTTAACTAAAAGCAATCAAAACAGAACTCACCAGATATGGAACCTTGTCAGCAGCTGACACCTTCCTCCAGACCTTCATGATTTGTTTACAGCGATTAGCCCAGTCTGTGACAGGAGAAATATTTAACAGCTGCCCAATATATAACGGAGATATAAAACTTACTTTAAAAAAAGCACAAGGTCTGTTTTGTCCTCTTATAGACTGTGTATATATTATTATTTCGTCCTCTCTTACCTGGGTAGTCCTGTCTGAGAGTGGGAAAGTTGGTATTGGCATAAAGCACCGGGGAAATGGTTGAGAGTTCTCCCAGCTCCTCGTCTTTCTCCCACCGCTGGAGACTGCGCTGGTTGTAGGACAGTCCATCACTTTCTCCCTCAGTGGGGGTCGGTGGGGAGGAAGGGGTTACTGGGGTAGAGGGATTGGCCCAGGCGCTTTCCTCACTTCCATCTGGACTGAACAATCCTCCTCGCTCCCTGCACACCATATGATAAGTTATTGTCTTGTAAATGAAAAGGTTCTCATGTGTTAACTACACTGTAAGAAAGGAAGTGTGTGTATAAATGCATACCGATCTACAGCAACAGTTACAAATTGTTGTAAAATAAAATGCTTAGGAAAAGCAGTATTGGTCTTACCGCATATCGAAGAACGGTGACTGAGAGAGGCCAGGAAAACCATCCATCATTCCAGCGGAGGGCAGGGACCCTGTTAGAGATGGTGCACGCTCAAATTCATCTCAAGCCACAATTCACTTAGTCATTCATTTTGTAAATAATCCTCCTTACACAATCAAACAACAGATATGGTTTTATACTGTCTGTGTATCTGTTTATTCATAAGACTGGCTGATGACATGTCCTTGTACACACCTGAGAGGAGAGCTCTCTGCGGCAAAGCGCTACGATTGAGTTCTCCCTTACTGCCCTCCAAGATGGGCTTCATGCCCCCCAAAGAGGAGCCGTCTGACGATCCCAGAACCTTCCTGAAGAACTGCTCAGAGTCCTGACTTTCCACCCCTAACGGAAGACCTGTCACACAAGGACAACAGCATGTAAGGTAGGGTGCTACATCAGGTATTCTCCCCACTGATTGATGTTGCATACTGATAGACCAAAGAAACCTCTGGTGGGAATACCTTCACTCTTTTCTGCATCAGAGTCATGAGGATCAGTTGACGCCTGTTCTTTCAGTGATGAGGACGGTGCAGAAACTCCTAAACAAATGTATCATTTTAAAAACAACCTGCAATTACAACACTAAGAATAAACCAGTAGCAGCAAACAAACAGAAACGTACCTGCACCTTCTCCCTGAGCCTGGGGGCCATCACCCCCCTCTTGCTTGATAAGAAAATATTCTTTCACCACACGATCTTCATCTAGTAAAAGAAGCACAAAGGTCACAAAAAGTGCTCATCGCATCCACACCCACAAATGATTTCCAGTTTTCAGGTGTCAGAGGTCAAGTTAGTGTTCTTACTCTCTGGGGCAGAAGTTCTGACCCCTGACGGTGCTGGTAATGAAGGTCGGACCAGGCATGCGCCCGGCCTCTGCCCTGGAGGTGTCAGCACAGCTTTCTTACCCAAGTCTATAAGTGTCTTCCCAAAGAAAGCCTCCTGAAAAATGTACAAACATTTCAAAATTACCTCACTGGATCAAATGAGTTTAAAACGGTTTAAAACAGTGGGCATAGAGAGAGAGTTGAACCTGGAGATAAGATGGAAACATGTCCTCAAGTTTGCTCTTCTTCCGTCCCCGTCGCTTCTTGGCCTGTTCCTCGCCCTCCACTGGTTTAGGATCCATGATGTTATCTGTGTCAGGGTGAGGTCCTGCACATATAATTATGCAATTCAGTTTCACAATTTAACTGAATTTACAAAAAAAACATTAATGGGTTTTCTGAATACATAAGTATTTTTGCATTGGATGTCATTCAATTCTAAAATTGTCACCAACCCTCGTCAATGGTTCTCTCTATTGGCTGTCCATCTAATGTAGTCTCTCCAGCAAGCTGGGCGAAAAACTCTTTCTTCATCCGTGTGTGACACTTCCTTTGTCGCACCATGAAGCCACCAATTCCTGTTACAAAATACAGATAAGGATTTGTTCATATATTGTGAGTACTCAAGACATTTGTAAGGCAAGGCAAGGCAAGTTTATTTATATAGCACTTTTCAACACAAGGCAATTCAAAGTGCTTTACAAAAAATGAAAGAGATTAAGAAAATGGCATTTAAAATCAGTCATTAAAAAGAAAATGATGTTGTAGATGTTTGAAATCTTTTGGCAAATTCTTGATAGCTTACCAGGCCTGTAAGGTTTCCGCTTTCTTTTTTTGCTGTCCTCAGTCTCCTCTGCTCCTCCTTTGACACCATCGCAGTCGGCCATGCCATCAGGGCCTACGTCTGCACCCCCTTCTCTGTCAGGGCTCCCAGGGTTCTCCATTTTGGATTCACATTCCATGGGCTCCCCACATCCTTAACAAACAAGATAACAATAAATTGAGTCTGACATTGAAAAGGAGCAGAACCCAACAAACATTTGAATACACCATTGAATTAAGTGTGCAAACCTTCGTCACCCTCCCTCAGATCCATCCCATCAGAGCCTCCTTCACAGCACAGAGCGCCGAGACGGGAGCGACGCTGCCGTCTCTTGTGCAGAGGAGACATGGAGATGCTGCGAAGCAGGGACATGCCCGACTCTGTCAGCCACACACCCTCCAACCGGTAGAACTGGGGTTCTGTAAAGTGACATTTGTAAATATGAGTGAGTAACAGAAAAACAAACAAAAGACGACCATAGGAAATGTGCTTGGGATTATAAACCTTAGTAAGCATAATCCACTAACCTGGCTCTTTGATCTTTATTGAAGCCATAATTGCTGACTCTACTACAGCGAGCAAAGGCAAAAAGCAGGTAGAGAAAAAAAAGATTCATGTCATCAGTAAACAAGAAAATATCCTATGAGGGTTTTTCAAAGCAAATTCTTCCAATCTTAGTTTCTAAATAGTGTCGTTGTGGAACTTACCCACGGGTTTTGGAACATATGCGCTGCAGGATGTGCATGCAAAGCCTTCATCAGAAGCTTGTTCCACCTCATCCTCTGTGTACAAACTCTCACAGACAGCATGGAGCCATCTGCACAGGCACACACAGAAACACGTTGATGCACAAACTTTCCTTAACAAATCACACCCCGAATCAAAGATGTAACGGAATAATTCATGATATGAAAAATACATCAATAATCCATTCCCCGCTCGTCTTCATTAGCGGCGGTCTCATGAATACCTCAGTTGGGTGTGTGTGTGTGTGTGTGTGTGTGTGTGTGTGTGTGTGTGTGTGTTTCTAATGAACAGCACCCACCGATCACAGTACTGACACTGCAGCAGCAGCTCCTCCTCCATGAAGTTCTCTCTGCAAACTGGACAAGTGACGAGGCTGGCACAGGGGCCACAGTGTGTGTAGTTGTTCTGCCACTCACAGTGGAAACCTGGGGTGTTTGAACCACACTGGACGCAGCACACACACCTGCACAAAAGTAGTGAAGCACTATGTGTTGAATATAAAGCTCATATGCAAGATTGAAGACAAAAAACAAGTACAGGAACTATTTTGAGTATTGCAATATTGTTTCTGTTGCTACAGAAGCAAGAGGCATAGGGATGGGCCTCTGAATTGCTAATGCAGGCTGAGGCATGAGTGATTTACATAATATGCAAATTAACATGTATTCATTTCCATTTGGCCCTATTCAAAGCTACCATGCTGAATGAAACAGTGTGCTCTTATGCTGCATTTCTACTGCATGATACTGAACTAGTCTTTTTTGTTTTTTCACAAGAGTTGCCGACAGTACACCTGGACCTTTTTTTGGTACTGCCTTGGTCTAGGTCAAAAAGCGAGCTAAGCTGATACCAGGAGACGTTTAAACACTGCAGACCGCTGATTGGTCAAACGTCTCCAGTGCGACACAGTCCTGCAATTTTTATTAGCCACCGTCAATAGTGACTGCAGTGTTTTAATTCACTAGACCGAGATGTCAGCATGCAAACTGACGTACAATTGACGTAGTGCAAATGTACCCGATTGGTTTCATGATGGACAGGTGGCAGTAGAAATTAAAATAGAGAAAAGTACTGGTTCTTAAAATTCGTTTGAATAGAGCCGAACTATGCGGTTGACATTTTGTCAGTTAACATTACTCTTACCATTTGCACTTCCAACCACCCTTGGGGACATTGTGCAGGGGCGGGTCCAAGCAGTAGGTGTGATAGCTGACATCACAGTCGTCACACAGCAGCAGACGGGAGGGATCCGAAGCCTTTCCACACATCTCACACACAATACATTCCAGACAGCGCCAGCCCTTACGGAGCATCGTCTTGGTGATCTACAGGAAATATCAGGTTTAATCCTTTTTCTTTATAAATACTTTGAAAAAAAATACACATAAAAACAGTCAAATGTTGTGCTTACTTTGCTGTTCACACAGTAAGGATGGTAACACTGGGCACACTGAGCACAAGCCAACAACTGCCCCTCTGAACCCTTTCCAAAACTGCCGCACACAACACACATATCCTAGAAAGAAAGGAAAATATAACAAAGAGGAAACAATGACTATTTGCGGTGCATTTGAAAGTGGAAATTGTAGTTATGCCACAGGGTAATTAAAAAGATGACATAAGAGCTGTACCTGGAGCAGGACAAATTTATCAGTGTTTGAGAAAAGAACCACTGTGTTCTGCATGGTGTCGTCTTCCTCCTCGTCTTCCTCTTTACTCACTCCAGTGTCTGCGGTCATGCTTAGCTGTGAACAAGGGGATAAACAGTTAAAGATCCAAATATCAATAACAAAAGTATGAAAAGAGTGATTATGACCACCTCATAAAGCTCACCAAGAAAGCGTCGATGCAGGAAGCCATGGCTTTGAGGCGGGACCTCCCACCCCGCCCTCTCCCTCCACCGCCTCCTCGGGGTCTGCGCTTCCCAGGAAAACTATTGCTTCGCCCCTACAAGCAGAGTTAAACCAATTCAATGTCAAGTCCTACAAACAACTTAATTTAAAACCATCACCAGCTGTTTGAGTAAAGAAAGACCAACCTGTTTGACCCGCGAGCGGCCGGGGGACCCTCTGCGTTTCACCTTCTCTCTGAGGGGCTCGAAGGGAAGCGAGTCATCGGTCTCAGACAGCAGGTTATCTGCGTGCGAGTGGCCGAGCTCCATGGAGAGCTGAGGGTCTTGTTCTCCTGGAGAGCCCAGAAAGCCGCTGCTGCTCTCGTCTCCATGGCTCAGGTAGGACAGATCGTCCGGCTCCCGCTTTATGTCCTCAATAAGTCCATCTCCTTTCATTTGCTCATCATACTCGTCATCATCATCCTCTTCCTCAGAGTGAGGTAGTAACCTCTGCTCCATTTCCATAGACGAAAGGGCCTCTTGTGTGTCTCCTGATATAGAAAGAGGAGAAGGAGACTGAGGGTCCGGGCATGGACTTCTTTCTTGCCGATTATCCATAGGCAAGTGCTCCGTTTTGTCCACAGAGGCAGGAGAGGATGGTAACTTTGGTGGATCCTTACTGGATGGTGGTGGGACGTGCGTGACTTTGGAGCCATCTTTTAATGGCTCTGATGGTACTTCTTGTTCCACTGATAGAGTGGTTTCTTGCTTATCCTCCTTCTCCACCTCCATGTTTTCAGGACCCTGCTCTGACACCGGTGATGGTTCTTCTTTAGGGTTGTCAGACCGCGTCTCTGCTGGAGGGGCCTGGACGGGGGCGTCTTTAGTCCCACGGCTGACTGCCTCTGTTACCCTCTCTTCATCAGCAGGTAGACAAGAGGCCCTCTGTTCTTTTGTTGCACAATCTACAATTAAGATTAAGGAATGCGTGGTTACTAGTGTAAACATTTACAAATATATCATTAGTTACGGCACACCATAATACAGATAATAAACTACTGCTTTGTGTTCATATTAAAAAATGTCTACAGTGTGTTACAAGTTTACCTGTGGCCTCAGTCTGAACAGCGGGAGCCTCAGAAGGCGATTCTTCTGTTGCTCCCTGCAGCTCGTCCTGCTTCAACTTCTCCCCAACCGCTGGTGTCTCAACAACTGCGGACTCCACCCCTGAAGCCAAAAGTAGTTAACATCAGAAGCACATCTCAGCCTGACATTTCAAATCGTTTAATTAGCTTACGTTTGAGTGACAGCACCTTACAATAAGTGCATTCAACCATGTGGATACAGCCAAAACATTGGAAGAATCAAGTACATCGATCATATGAAAAAATAATCTGAACTGCTTTAAGTGCTGCAGTTGGAAAGAATAAGAGATAGAGAAAATGTATTTCTTATTTGCCAAGGTGCACAAACAAGATGCATTAATGTGCATGATGCAGACTTACCCAGGACCATGGGAGTCTCTTTATCAGTCGTGGCCTCGTCCTGAACCTTCTCCGATGCATCTTTCTGCCCTGGTGCCAGCTCTGATAAGTCTGTGTGCTCTTCTGTCACCATGTCTGCATCTGTTTGGATTTTCGCCTCCACCAAATCCACAGTCTCCTCAGACGCCTCTCTGGTTTGTATCTCTGCTGTGTATGATTTAGTGAAAGGCTGCAGCTGACCCATCTTGCAAAGCCGGCAAATGCACTTTGCTTCTGGAAGCTCCCCCGGTGAAGAACATTCACTGTGCACCGATCTAGGACAATTAAGAGATCATGAGAAATATTGTATGACAAGGAGCGATAAGCCAGCACAAATGAACACCATTTTGCTTCTGCATCAAACTAACCTGTGGCATGTGCTGCAGCTCTGCAGAGTGACAGATGTGTTGGCAGCTTTGCTGCACACGCCACACACCGAGCTGCGGTGCCGCTGGCAGCCCTCGCACACGGCGTAGTTGTCAAACCACTGGGCCGAACCTGGCAGCCCCAGTCCATGGACACCACACTCCGTACACACACGACACCTCTGAGAAAAAACAGACAAAAAAGGTGTAAATTGTAAACACAATGGTCAAAGAAGCCCTAAATATCCTGATTTAAAAAAGGGGTTTCTTCGGTTAGGTACATTTTGGAAGTAGAGGAATGTATTTGTACCAAGATGAAAGACAAATGTGACTTACTCTGCATTTCCATGGGTCAGAGGGAAGAGAATCCATGGCTGGCTGGAGGCAGAAGGTGTGGTAGCCCTTATCACAGGCATCGCATACCAACATTTTGGAGTCTTCACCTGGTTGCCTAAAAATAAATGAATAATAAAGACATTCATCTTTAAAAAAAAAAGAATAAAAGAAAAGCTACAAAAACAAAACAAAAACAGGATGAAATATAATAAAAAAACATTCAGGCACTATCTAAGAATTGTTTTTCTAACCTGCACGTCTGGCAAACTTTGCACTCTGGGCACTGCCATCCTGCCCGCTGGATAGGCGTGGCACCGATCTCTAGACAGGCCGCATGATAATGTAGGCCACAACCCGTACAGAACAGCAAGTCTGTGAGCTCCCCCGCTGAGTCACACACTGCACACCAAGACTCCTCACCTGCTGTAAAGAAAATAATTTAAATACATATGAACACAAAAATCACAAGATAGTAAGCCAGTAGCCACTTTTGAATAGATGCCTGGTGTTTTGTTTCACAAAGCAGGTATTGTTTCTATAAGGCAAGGCAAGGCAAGTTTATTTATATAGCACTTTTCAACACAAGGCAATTCAAAGTGCTTTACAAAAAATGAAAGACATTAAGAAAAGGGCATTTAAAATCAGTCATTAAAAAGAAAAGCTAATAAAATAAACATTAAAAGAAAAAATACATGGATAAAAGTTACAGTGCAGTTTAAGATATGAATAGTTCAATTAAACATTAAAAGAAAAAATACATGGATAAAAGTTACAGTGCAGTTTAAGATATGAATAGTTCAATTAAACATTAAAAGAAAAAGTGCATGGATAATAGTTACAGTGCAGTCTAAGATATGAATAGTTCAATTAAAAGCAGCGACAAAAAGAAAAGTCTTCAGCCTGGATTTAAAAGTAGTCAGAGTTGCAGCGGACCTGCAGGTTTCTGGGAGTTTGTTCCAGATATTTGGAGCATAATAACTGAACGCTGCTTTACCATGTTTAGTTCTGACTCTGGGGACAGAAAGCTGACCAGTCCCTGAAGACCTGAGAGATCTGGATGGTTCATAATTTAGCAGGAGGTCAGAAATGTATCCTGGGTCTAAACCATTCAGTGCTTTATAAACCAGCAGCAGTATTTTTGAAATCTATTCTTTGACACACAGGAAGCCAGTGTAAAGACTTCAGAACAGGAGTGATGTGATCCACTTTCTTAGTGTTAGTGAGGACTCGAGCAGCAGCGTTCTGAATCAGCTGCAGCTTCCTAATAGATTTTTAGTGAGACCTGTGAAGACACCATTGCAGTAGTCGAGTCTACTGAAGATAAAAGCATGGACAAGTTTTTCCAAATCCTGCTGTGACATTAGTCTTTTAATCCTAGATATATTCTTTAGGTGATAGTAGGCTGATTTAGTAACAGTTTTAATGTGACTGTTGAAACTCAGGTCAGAGTCCATTACTACACCTAGATTTCTGGCTTTATCTGTTGTTTTGAACATTGCAGACTGAAGCTCAGCGCTAACTTTTATACGTTCTGACTTGGCTCCAAAAACCATTACCTCAGTTTTATCTTTGTTTAAGCCTGAAATATTCAACATTCAAGAGATGACATGTCCCAAAGTCCGCTTTTTTTCAACTTTCAGCATATGCAGGCAGTCGACACTTGATTTACACAAAAGCATTCAAATGTAGAGTTCACAGACAAGAAACCAAATTCAGAATAAAACTGCCAATAGAAATGTAACCACAATTCTTTTTTCGGCGTACCATTGAATCAGTTATATCGATTCAATAAAAGAATATACAATAATCATTTCCTTTCAGTTTTTGCTTCAATAATTAATCTGTTGTATTTTAGCAGAAATAGAAATCAGCAGACAAGCTGAGCAGAGTATAGCTATTATTGCAAGTAATTTAGTTCTTGCTAAATTCAACAATGTTATTGTATACATTTCCCCTTATTTTCTCATATAGTACAACACTATATTTAAACATGTGCGCATAGTATAAGCCTGGCTGTGAGCAAGCACTAAGTAGACATCACCATTTGGAAAAGGATGTCTGGTTCTCTTACCCAACTCCTCCGCCTTGTCTATGTGCTCTGGACAGAGGAGGACCAGCTGCTTCATGGACTGGAAGGATCCACTGGCCGCCGAGCAGGGGAAGTGGTAGAACCGCGAGCAGCCCTCAGCATGGCATCGAATGGTTGCACCCAGCCTTTTGCAGCATTCGCAAAGCTTAAACAAACCAATGGAAACAAAGATTTATTAAGGAAACCTGTTCATTCCTATATTCTCTCCTGATATTATATAATCAAAACCGATGGACAGTGAACTTACCCGCTGTGTCCCTGAGATAACGGCCTTATCCACATTCTCCAGCTCCTCATTCTCCACCTGTTTCACCCCCTCCGACCACGCAGCACACCAGTGATGAACCAAACAGCCCCCTGTTTAATATAAAGCACAGCGTCAGCGACATCTCTAACATTATTTCTCCAATTCTACACCTGTGTGCTGCATTTCTAGACGATGTAACCTATAATATGCTTGATTCCTGAAAGTTATTTGTTATTGTAGACAAACAAAATATAATAAAATAATGTTTTGTTTTCAACCTGAGTCGTCAAAGAACGATGCCAGACAGGGGGAGTCGGAAAATCCAATGGAAGACAGGTCATCATTTCCGGGCTGTGGCAGTAGGGAAGCTGATGGCTTGAGGGTCGGCCGTTCAGAAGACGGCCCAAAGTGTCTCAGCTCCCGCTGGCCGTGCAGGCTCCGCTCCACACAGTTACAGAGCGCACAGGCTCGGACGCTACCACTGTACAGTAAAAAAAAATACCATCAGAGATTCCGTTTTTGGTTTTGCCAACAATGAGCAGCTTGTTGACATATAGACTATCGACTTAAACATTTTTGATAGGAATTGATAACTTACTCAGGTGTGCTGGACGGGGCTGAGGTAGCACCAGACAGGTCCTCGGCAGCAGGAAGGGCTTTGGACTCCTCCTCAGAGGAGACAAGCTTCTTCGTAGGGGTATTATCATCAGCTAGGGAATGAAAAAGAAAGGGAATAAGTGAATTTGACTAACCCCAATTTGATTTGCCTGCTATTAGCTTCTCTAATCAATGATTTGTACAAATTCAAATCTATTTTGTTCTCAGCCCTGTGCCTTTCTCTTTAAGTCCAAAGGCAAATTATTTATCTTCCTGCAGAAAAGTGTACATTAATAGTGGATGATGTTTGGAAATGGTGACATTTGAATAACAAAACATTACCTGTTGGTTCAGATTCATTTTCATCGCAGTTTGTTTTCTGCTCGTCCATCCCCCGTATTGATGTTGACCTCCTTGACAGAGATCTGCAATTCAGAAACAGAAGTAAAATCAACTTGTTAATGTTTATCAGAAATTAATTAATTTAACTAAAATGTTCCCAGCATGCAAACAACCTTTATCTCATAACTGGCTATGCAAGACATGAGTGTGCTATCAGACCAATGAATGTAGAGAAAATATCTATGTTAGAAGCATTACTAAAAAGTCATATGATTGGGAGTTTCTCCCACATGAAGTAAACAACCAAGTGGAACTACTTAGAAATATAAAATGTCCTTTTCATTAGCCAACATATGTCTATCATCATGAAAATACATTCCTAAAATGCATTTTTCTTTTCCAAAACATAGTATACAGTAGCCTCACTAACAATCCAAAACTACTTTTCTCAAACAGATTTAGAACAAACAATGCAACCAATGAAACATGGCTGTTGGGTGCTCACTTTAGATTATTTCCTTGTGTTAATCTGACTAACGCTAGCACTAATGCAGCCGAGCTTCCTCGGAAACTCTTGAAAATAGCGCGAGTGTTACAGGACACAGATCGTTCGGAAACCGCTTAAACAATTCAAGTTATCATTTACCAGGCAATGCATAATCCAAATCGGTGAAACGGCAGCGTGAAAAAGCACACAATGATAAAACTAAAATGGTGTTTTCCCCAAATAAAACAACCATAAATCGGGATACACAAAGAAAACACAACTTCCGTATGGAGAACTTCCTGTTGCAGCGGAGCTTCTTTCGTGCAAAACATTTATCGGTCGCTTCATGGTTCCGCTGTGAGATTCACGACATTATCAAATAATACTGTCAAATAAACTATGCAAGACTTGGCTGTATCACCATTTTATTCACATAGTTAGTTATATACAGTCATGTTATTGAACGTGTAAACGCCACTAACAGACGACAATTAAACATGAGCAGATCAGCTTCCATTGGAATGGTGTGTTTTACTCATAGTAGGCCGATATCACAGAAAGGCCAATATGTGTTTATATAGCTTTAAATCTCATGTCACAAAATAATATAGATGACGACAAAACCGTCAGTGATGCCATGCTGTATGTCCTGATCAAATGGGCTCACATGACAGTATATGTGACGGTTGCTTAGAAATATAAATCTAGCTGAAAATATTGCAGTGTTTTGTTATTTAAAACAACAAGAAACTGTGCCACCATACTCGTGAAATCATCCCGTGAGCCAACACACACATTTCGACATGTTTCCTTTTTATTATCACAGAAGCAGCAGCAAGGAGATCCCAACCGAGGACCCATAGAACAGATTATTTATTTTTCAGAAGTTCAGAATGCATTTATTTATTACGCCAAATCAATTACAGTGCAACTTTGTCATAATCATTTAGTGGTGTTTTTGAACGCATGCCCAGCCAAAACTCCCCAGGTAATATGCAACATACTGACCCTTTCCACCTAACACACACACCAGGTCTGGATCTACATGTAAACGCTGTTTGGCATATGGCGAAATAAGCCGTGAACGCCATGATGCAAACCGAGCTGATGGACAAATTAATTTCTCTATGAAGCATTAACGTTACATCTTCGTAACAAACGCATTCAGTGGCAGCAATACTGGAAACGCACTCTCTTCTTGACAACAAACTAACGTCAAAACCAAGTCTTACAAAAACCTTGTGCTACATCACGTATAATAATCATAGTGAAACGGCTTTGTCTCTAAAATGAAGTTGGCACTGATCAGAGCAAAAGGGATGACATGATGGCCAAGTTACCGTCTTAACACCATGCTAGCTAAGTTAACGTTAAAAGTGTTAACGCTACAAATTAACTTTAATGTATTTGTTGTTGTTTTGTAATGTCGGTCAAAGCAGCAGCTATTTATTTTCAGCGCCTCGGCAGAAGCTAATAAGATTGTACAGTTGAATAACTGCAAAGCTAAGCACTATTCCTCAATGTAAACACCGACTTCAAAGGGTTGGTTCCGTCCAGCAAATAGCCGTGTCCGTCTCACCGGCGAGAGGTTGAAACGGAAAAGCCAACATCTACCAATGGTGACGTAGCAACAAAGTGTCCCAAAGAGGCAAAACTACGAGAAATACACCCTATCTTATACACACGCTAATGAACTTCTAAAATGTTAACCGGCTACTTTTGTTATCATACCTTGGGCACAGCCAGCGTAAAACATATTTCAACGTAAAGTTAGCACCCAGGTAACATAGCTAGTTCTCCAGCAAGTAGACCCCTCCATTTGGTTGAAGCTAACAGCTAAGTGTTACCGAAGCAGAGCTAACATTACCCGGTCTAAGGTCAGGGTTGATATGTCTTTAGGTATGTCTGTTGCAAGAAGTTGAAGGAGGCCATAATAAAAACAAGCTCACCTCACAAAAACAATATCGTCTCCTCATACATCAGCAAAATCCAAACAGCCACACAGCTTCCCAAAACGCTGATGGTCGCTTCATTTTATGTACCGGACTAACGCTGCGGCTAGCCGGCTGGAGGGAGAGTGGGGGAAGTGCACCTCGGCGGAAGGCAGGCAGTGCAGCTAGCTCCTTAACTAGATGGATAATGCTATGGTTAGCTTGCTATCCAGCACATCGAACTTTGTGTAGAGTGGTCGTATACTGCCGGGGAACTATAAAACAACGCCACAAGTCTTTAACCAGTCCATTCATAGGCTCCACAGCATCAAGCTGTGAATCCAGAAACTAACCAGATATCTCGCTCCTGCTGGTGGATTTAGCTTGAATGCTAACAGGAGCTAGCTTCTGCTCTGTTCTGGAATGTAGGTCGTTAAAGCTACTAATTTACTAGTTTGCACAAAATAGTGCATGCTAAAACTACAGTGCAAAACTTTGTTGGGACTAAAGACAATATTGTTTACTGTTAGTTGTTGTCCACCGCAAACATGTATCTGCCTAAATGTGCAGCTCAACTTTGTATTTGTAGTACTCATGTATGGGACACTAGCATCGCTTCACTTTGCTGAACTGCGTTGCTTCTGCACATTGCTGCTCAGCCGAGTACTAGCAGAGCTAGCTAATAACAACTACGTCAACAAATTATTCATGGAAAAGAACGATAAAAACATTTGTATGTATCACTAGATCACAGTAAACCATGTTACAGCTCTAGTGTAGTTATGGATTATTTGTGCCAATATGATATTTAGCATACAACATACGGGTCTAATGTTGAAAGCTCCCACCACTGAAATATGGTGGATATATGATATCAACTCATTAGATTTTCAGATCCAGGGAAGCCATTTTTCATCAGATTGTTATGGTTGTAGAACCGAAGCCCCTCTGATATGCCGACGGACAAATGCATCTGTTTTGAAAATCAGGTCCGATATTAATGACTTCTAATAGGATCATAATTCTTAGTGCAAATTCATTTTGTAATTAACATAAACAATGTGTACTGTGCACTTCATCGTGGTTGCTAATTACTTATTCCGTTTATGTTACTGTATTCTCCTACTGTTACCATACTGCTATGCATTGCGCATATTGCTGGAGCGAAATGATTTATAGATTACTTTAAACTACAGGGATGTGAAATAAACCATGACCTAGTTTTCAGCACATTCACTGATAATATTGAGCAAAAAGAGCTGTTTCTGTATCCCGTGCGACTGGGGGCAACATTGTTTTGTCCATCCACGTAGGTGGTATTTGACATGTGTGGCCTATGAAGTAGGCCTACATACGAATGAACCCCCCCCCCCCCCAAAAACACTCAACACTGTACAGCTTTTATCAACCCTTAGTCTTCAACTAAAATAAGAAGCAATCATAAAGTATACTGAGGGTAAACATTATAAAGATCCGATGGCGGTGGGGATGAGAGGTTGGCTATACTCTGTCATTCTGTTGCCTTATCACTGTGAGAAACCTCCTGTGGCATGGGGGCCTCCGGAAGGATCGGTTCAAGAACGCTCAATTTTAAATGTTTAAGGTTTTAGGTTAACCAAGTGACTGCGTGACTTTGCAAGATTAGGGCCAAATCAAATGCATGCTTCAATCAAAACCTTTGAACAGCACAGTCTAAAATTACATTTAATTAAGTTTTCAGAAATCCTCTTATTTTTCTGCTTCTTAAATCACAACACCGACCTCCCCATATCATATTTCCATGGTCCGTGAACAAAAAGCATGAAGCAGTACATCCAGGAAAACTTGAATGACATTGGAATGATATTGTGAACTAATACAAAACTAGGTTAGGTAACACTCTGTCCTATTGGGAGAAGGTCACAGGTTACAGTCACATCCGTTATCTCTTGTCATTCTCCAGAGAACAAAATGTAAGTTGCTGGTAAATTACTTATTTGTGGTATAACTCAAAACTTGTCCCAAATGTAAAGGTTATGTCAGTGATAACACATGCAGGGGCACCTGCTGCAGCGTGGGTGATCTGCAGCTGACCCTGCACTGTGAAAAATCTTTGGTAATGCATGTGTGCAGAGGCATCTAAAGGCCTCAGGGCTCCGTTGAAACCGCTGAAGATAAAACATTTTACAAGAATTCTTTCAACCGGATGAATGCAGTTGGTTTTCTAAAGCATGCAGCTAAATAAAGAATTGTCTTCCAAATGTGACCAGAATCCAAGACTTAAGAAATGTTGATTCACACCCACACATTCTAGTTAGGAGCCTAACATTTTTATAGATGTTTCTGGTAGATAGCCATTCCTAATGATACTATAAGATATTGTTTTTGAAAACAGTCCTGTCCTTCCATCCTTTAGTTTTTTTGAAGAATAAATGTGGTTTCATATTGACTTTGATTTTCTCCCTCTTTTTAAAAAAAAGAATTGTTCTTTGGATTAGTCAGTGAGTAACTTGTTACTATGATTAAAGTCATTCAAGGTCAAGGTTTCTTAGATTATATTATTATTATTATTATCACATATGGAGTTATACTCTTTATTGTTCATGATAGAAAAAAAGCCTACCCAGATTTCAGCAGAACATTTGATAATGTTCGGGAATATCTTCTGTGGCACTCAATAAGTGTATAATACATGTATAACAAATCTCCACTGATGCAGCCTTCTCTTTCATTTTTAAATGAATATTGTCGTACACACAGAATTATATTTAGACCAGAAAATATGTTCTTCTCATTGTCTGAATGTGGGGTGTGCAGGTTTTAATTTTGAAAATAGGTTATTATTGGTCACCCTGACAGGATTACTTAACTCCCTATTCAGCTTTGGCAAAATTGGATTAGATGTTGGGGGGCTGAGACGGTTTGGAAGACAGTGACTGATTGGCTGATGGATGTAAATAGAGGGTGGTATTAGGACATCAACTGATCCTATTGGCCGGTCAGTGGAGCTGGTGCTTTCCCATCTGCCTCCTGTAACTCAAGGATAATCCCCTCCAGTACTCCACATATGTTTACAACAGAACATAAACCTAAAGAAGAGAATACAGTTTGAGTGCTCAGTATTTGTAACAGTTATTGACTTTAAACAGCTCTGAATAAACATAATGCCGTTTGTGGACCTGTTTAGGTTCATGGTGTGATAACGTGGTGTTGAATACTTCAGTTAAACATGTACTGTTTTGTCAGTGAACACATTAATCCACCTCATTGTATTTATTGACTAATATACAAGTAATACAAAGTACAAATCAAATCAAAGTTTGTTGAACTACGGTTTATTATCTAGAGTTGTTATTGCACATACAAGCGCATTTATTGTAAATGAAATGTTCAGGCTTGTTATCAGCTTTCTCCACAAGAGGGTGTATAACCCTATACTACTGTCCTGAATATGGCATTTACACATACATATAAACCTTTTAAAAGTAGACTAAATCCAATAATATTAACTTGAAAAGGGCACATCTGTTGTGTAAAAAGTGTACATAGGGACTGGTAACCATAGAAAGTTATGTGAACAATGAACTGTACAACACCATCAATAGATATACTTGTGACCCAATTTGATCAGTGATTGCTAAAAAATAAAAACTGTGTCCTTTAAGATTGTAAGAAAAGCAAACACTCCCTTGAAGTAGCTATGTGATAAAGTCTGTGATAAAGTCAAGGTGGTGGCACAGTATGGGGAATATTAAGTACGTCCGGGCTTTTCATTAACCTGCGAGCCTGTTGGACTTCATTTCCACAGAGCTCTTAAACACTGAGACATAATGCTCAACTAAGACCAAGGGAAATATATTTGTGCATGCATCTCAGGTTTTTCACACTCAGTTCTGCTAAACAAGCAAATGACAAATCAGCTTAACAGACACAATTTAGACTAAAGCTGAGAAAACCAGGCTGTTGCTTGATAAAATGAAATTTTAATCTGATTTTATGGCATGACATGTGACATACAATACATGGATTGTAATTATTATAATACAATTTAACATTTATATATATTATGATTCAGAAAGTACAAAAATAAAGTTTCTATTGTTGTGGGAAAATTAATTCCTATCACATTAGAATAAGATATATGTTTTACACATATAACCCAAATAATTAACAGAAATAACATGATGTACAAATAGAGTATTATACAGTTATTTTCAATATAATTTTTTACAGTAACCTTCTCAGATTGTCATCTCTTACAAAATATGAATTAAGTAGTTTCAGGTATATCATTATGATAGTTTACAATGCAAACACGGGTATACAAAAAGCAAGCAAGCCATTCCCGTGCTTTCATTTATTGAAGAAAATAAGGAAGTGTTAGGGTGAATGCTTTAGAGCTTTAACATTGAACAGTGCAATGATTACTGAGTATAGTTTTAGGCTTTTAAGGATGAAATGAGCTTGAGTCTAACAAGATACATCCAAAACGGTATAGTAATCTAGCATACCAGTGCACATTTGATGTCTGCTTCTCTTTCATTTCCATCCTCAGAGTTTGACTCTGACCATCTTGTTTGTTCAGAGTGTCATTATTCACATACACACCTGCGTTGTATGCCAAAGTGCTACAATGAAATGGAGTCTCAGTGCAAGCTGTCTCACTGTCTGTGGTCTGGTGGTCTTTTCTTGTCTCCCCCAAAAGCAGCTGGTTGAATGAGGAGAGGAGTCGCACAGGTCCAAATGCCCAGTGTGCGAGTCTTTGGTCCTCCACCAGAGCATAGCTGGATGCCAGCACCCCATCAACAAACACAGTTCCAGCTTCTGTCAAGGGCGCATACACACCCACACTCTCCTCTACTGAAACTGAGATGATCCGCGATGGACGTACTTGACCCTGAGCTGTATGGATGAGAACACAATCTCCTGTTTTGGCTCTGCTAGCAAACTGAGCCTGATACTCACTGCTGTGGAGTCTGCAAAGGGGGGCGAAAAAGAGTAAGTGATTTGGAGTGAGGGCCAATCTATGACCATCTTCTGTCTCCAGAAACAGAAAAGTAGACCAGCTTTCTTGATCCTGGTGCAGAAACAAGAGGACCTGGCTCCACACGACTTTGCCCGTCGCAGACAGGGCCATGACTCTGTCCCCAAGAGCCAAGGACGACAGGCTCTTCTGCACCCCTCCAGCAACAGTGACCCGGGCCCAGCCTGGGAAACAGCCCCCTTTCTCCACAGCAACAGAGTGATCTGCAGGAAGATTAGCAGAAACAGTCAAGATGATATAACCTATCCTTTTTTTGTCCTAAATGTCTTGATACATCATTGCCTTTCAAAGCAGGAGTTTAAATTGAACTGGAGAATTTTCCCAGCTGTCTTAGTACTTTTAGTTAGGTGAAGGGTCTAACTAACTATTCCACACTGACACGGCATTATT